TCCATTTAGACTTTCTCGAAGATTCACTTCATGTTAATATTAGTATCTTAATATAAACTGCCAGTCATATCTCAGAACAGAAATTATCCTATTGTAGCATGTGCTGTCTTTTTAGTAAACTAAAAACAAGTTAGTTTACAAAAAGATAGATCTATTTCAGAATATGGTCAAGAGTTTAACACAAAAAAGAGAAACTCTAGAAGAGATTGTATCAATTTATTTTGGAAAACCAGCTTGTTTTCTACAATCATAAAAACTTAAGTTTTTCTATACCTGTTGACTTTGTAGTTGTGTTTAACCAAATTTCTGGGTTTGCGGGATTATGTTTTTAAAAAAATTGTTGTTGTTACTTATCCATTCTTATTTTCTTTTCTCAAAGGACAAAACCACAGTTACCAAAATAGAGTCTTTGACATGTAGTTATCAAGTTGAAAATATCGTTATAAATAAATGAGAAAATATTTTGTAGAGCTCAACTTCATACTAATTATCTAATATGGTTTTCAGCATCTTCTAAAAACGAATTAGTAAACACAATGATTTACTTGATTGCTTGAATTACTCATGCACGTTTAAAAAACTTTAAAGATTTTTGGATATTCTATCTATTGGATATGCATTTCTATAATATGTTTTACTATTAATAACTAGTTATTTCTTATATATAAGGAAGGGAGCTTAAGCAAAGAAATCTGTGATCTTTGTTCATTCAAGATTTTGGTTCCAACGACTTGATTAGGTACTTGATTAGGTAAGGATTTATCTTGGTACTAATCAGGTAAAAATCAATATGTTTAAAGTATTTTCACTGAGGCCATTGGCTTTTGGGTTTTACCTAATTCATGTTCATGAGTTAGAAATTCATTAAACTTATCATACCTGGTTCGCCTTCTTGTCTACTTTTTGGTAAGAACTAAAACCAAACATAAACGGGGAAAAGCAATTAAGCTTCAAACAGCCCCTGAAAAATCAATAGGAAGAGGGGGGCTGTTTAAGCTTGTACAATTCATTTAAACTATGTATTCATATTTATTCATATCTCTGGTGACATTATTTCTTTTAAAGTTTTACAGTCATCTGAATATTATTTTTGTTTACCTTTTCCAAGCAGTATTTATATCAGGGATGGCAAATAGCTTTACTGCTATTCTTACTCTAAAAGATTGATAGTGATTTATAGATGTATCTGTTGAAACAATTCTAAGGTCATTTTGGAGTCAGTGGTTGGGAATGCCATCATGGATTGGTGATGTGTCGGGGGAAAAACAGCAACAACAACAACAACAAAAAAACCCAAAGGAAGTTGCATTTTGATAAACCAAACTAAAAATGGGAATTTGTATATTCTTGAACTCTAACTCTTGCAAATGACTTCATACAATTTAATGCTTAAGTATATAGAATGTCATATTTTCGACTGATATATTATGCATTGATCTTTTCTTTCTAACTAGATTATAAGCCCCTTGGTTACAGGGATCAGGCTTTATGCTTTCTTATATTTCTGAAAGCCCTTAGGAAAGGGTAAGGCACAGAGTAACTTCAACATATAATTTTTACGAGAAGGCTGTTGAATCAGGCTTAATTGCATATGTGCATACCTAATCTTTTTTTTTAAAGGAGCCAATATATTTTGGAAAAGTTACCCAAGTATATGGTCGAAGAAAAATAAAGCAGCGTAAGAGTATTCCATGAAAAGTTCATCTCCCTCCTACAATGGGTTTCCAGTAACTAATTCTTTCCAGAGGCAACCAATTTAAACTATTTCTTGTGTATCCCTCCAGAAAGAATTCAAATATAAAGTCTATCCATGTACTTAAAGTGATAAATGTATGGAAATATAGTCATACATACTGATAAATAGCTAACTCCCTTTCAACACATCAGAAAGCCTATATACACTGAGTTCTATGCCTTTTAAAATTAATTAACTTTGAAAATTAGTTTTCATTCACTTATGTAGATTGTCACATTCTTCTTCATTCAAGCATATACCTTTTATGTATGGATGCATTGTAATTGATGTCACCAGGCTTGCAGTAATTATTTAAATTGTTACTTTCCTTTCCATAATATATACAAAACAGCAGTAGATATCCTAGCATCTTTGTGCATTTGTGCAAATATATTTATGAAAACATTTTCTAAAATTAGAATTACTGTGGTGATGAGTTGACAGATGTTTCATTTGCTGGATTTCTTGACATTGCCCTGGAGAGAGATTATCACAATTTTCAACATTTGTGCTGCTTTTTACATCCTTGTCAGATCTAGTTTTGCATTATCCAACTTTTTGATATTGATCTAATAGAGTAGGAAGGATGTCAACTGGTTATTTTAGTTTACCTTTTTTAATTGAAAGGGATATTGAATATCTTATGTTTGTGAACCGTTACTGTTTCTTTATGAATCTTGCAGTTGGATTGATTGTTATCTTATTGATTTAAAAGAACCCTTGTATGTTTAAAAAATATGCTTTTTGTCATATAATGAAATATTTTTAAAAATAGGATGAAATATTTTTTCTGGCTTATTGACTGTCCACTGACTTTGTCTATGGAGTTTGTTGTTGCAATAGGGAATAAAATATGTTTATAAAATTCAGCTTAACGTTTGTATTTTTATTTTTATTTTAAAATGATTACCTCTTTGATATATCTAGAATATATTATAGCATAAGAAGCCAAGTAGAGATTCAGCTTTATTATTTATCCTCCAGATTGGCTAATGAGGTGATACTGCATCATTAATTTTGTTCTCTGCTATTTAAATTGCCAACTTTTTCATATATAAAAGCCATATGCATAGATAGACCTGTTTCTAATGTCTCTGTGCTCTTTTAATTATTAATATCTTTATTGATATTCATTTGCAAAAAGTATTTTAACTACTATTACCTTAAATGACTTCTAAATAGTTGGAATATATACAATTTCTACTCATTAAGATTCCTCTTTTTTTTTTGGTAAGATTCTGAATGATTTTTCTAGTTTTATTTTTTAATTTAAAATAAGCTTGGAGGGTTTCATTAATATGGTTACTATTTTGAAAGGATTGTTTAAATTAAGAGAAAATTAGTATCTTTACTAATCCAAGACCAAATAATATCTTTATTCAAGCCTTTTTATCAAATTCTTTGTAGAATTTTGGATTTGTATAAATGTTATATAGTTCTTGTACATTTTAACACAAAATACATTTTTATGATAAAATTTTAGTTGACCTTTTCTTCTAGTATATGCTCTCTCTATATATGAAATATATTTTTCTGTTATTTTTGAAACTAGCTACCTATTTTTTGAATTCTCAGTTTATTTAATTTTAATTGATTTTATAATTATATGGTTATACTAACATGTAATGGCACTGTTTTCTAATGTTATAACTCATTTCTAATATTATACCTCATTTCTTTCTATTACCTAATTGTGCTAGGTAGTATTTACAGGACAACATTGGTTTTATTTATGATGTTAATACAAAAGTTTATAATGTTTCTCCATTTATATCAAATCTAGTGAAGTATCTGTCAATTCTTATTTTAAGAGCATTTTTATCAATGTTGAATATCTTCAAATGTATTTTAGTTATGGAACTGATTATATATATATATATTTTGACATAGTAATGTAAATAATTATTGGCCGGGCGCGGTGGCTCAAGCCTGTAATCCCAGCACTTTGGGAGGCCAAGACGGACGGATCACGAGGTCAGGAGATCGAGACCAGCCTGGCTAACATGGTGAAACCCCGTCTCTACTAAAAAAATACAAAAAACTAGCCGGGCGAGGTGGCGGGCGCCTGTAGTCCCAGCTACTCGGGAGGCTGAGGCAGGAGAAGGGCGTAAACCCGGGAGGCGGAGCTTGCAGTGAACTGAGATCCAGCCACTGCACTCCAGCCTGGGCGACAGAGCAATACTCCATCTCAAAAAAAATAAATAAATAAAAATTTAAAAAATTATTAATATATTTTTATAAATAAAACATTTTTGCATATATATTTTAATTATTTTAAAATTTGTTTGCCTGTAAAACTTAAGAAAACATTTAAATACATAAATGGCTTTTGTAATATTTTCCATTTCCCTTGTATTTGCCCCACTTATTTTTATAAGATGCCAGTATATAGTCAGTCAATAACTAGTATTATCTTTAGGTACATTTAAAAAAATTTGTATTGCACCTAAACATTGCATAATCTAGAAAAGATAATTAATAAGAAGTCAGTAAAAGACAACTTCAAAAGGAGGAATAATTTGCAGTGAAGTATTTACATAGACAACAATGCCAGGCACGGTGGCTCATGCCTGTAATCTCGGTACTTTGGGAAGTCAAAGTGGTGGATCACCTGAGGTAAGGAGTTTGAGATCAGCCTGACCAACATGGTAAAACCCCATCTCTACTAAAAATACAAAATTAGCCAGGCATGGTGGCACATGCCTGTAATCCCAGCTACTTGGGAGGCCGAGGCAGGAGAATTGCTGGAACCCAGGAGGCAGAGGTTGCAGTGAATGGAGATCGCACCATTGCACTCTAGCCTGGACAGTGAGAGCAAAACTCCATCACAAAACAAAACAAAACAAAACAAAACAAAACAAAACAAAACAAAACAAAAAAACGGTAACAATGAACTCTGATCTCTTTGTGTTTCACACTGTTACTGTTGAATCATGCTGGTTAAACAATATTTTCTTTTTTTCTTCTATAAACAATAAAAAATGCTATAAATTCTGTCTATATATATATATTTTAAATAGAGCAGAGCAATGACTTGAAACTAAAGAAAATATCAAAGCTCAAACACTGAGATCACTTTAAGACCAGGAGAAGAAATATTCAGATGCCGTAATGAAAATAAACTGTCAAATAATAAGCAAATAGATTTTGTTTTCTTTTGCTGAAGACAAGTAATTCTGCTGGTGACTGAAGACAATAATGGCTGCTCATTATCACAATGACCTAATCACAAAAATCAAACAGATGCTATTTCTGTTTTCTTAAGGGAGATGCATCAACAAAGCATGGGTGTGTGATGGAGACATTGATTGTGAAGATCAGTCAGATGAAGATGACTGTGACAGTTTCTTGTGTGGACCACCCAAATATCCTTGTGCTAATGACACCTCAGTCTGCCTGCAGCCAGAGAAACTCTGCAATGGGAAAAAGGATTGTCCTGATGGCTCTGATGAAGGCGATCTCTGTGGTACTGCATGTTTAATTACACTGGCTTCTCCATGAAAACTACCTTTTAGTTCACTTGCTGTTACTTAATATAGTAGCATTCATTCCTTTCATTCCCTTTAAATGTAGCTTTTAGCACTGAACCTTATCTACATTTTTCAGACGCTCTAAAGCTGCAGTAAAAGTCTTAAATGTGATCAGAAATTTCTGAAAATAAGACAGGAAAAACTAGCCTATATTGAAGTCACTTAATTGAAGAGCTGTATTCATCATTTAGATCTCTGGATGGCCAATGATGTTCCCCTAGTTGAACTGATTATTTGTTAAATGAGTCACTCAGAACAAGGAAAACTTGTTATTCCTCATCTGTGGGATAGAGCTTACCACCACCCTACATATTTTGATAAGCCTTCTAATCATTACAATAGAAACTGATTTTTAGGAAGGGGAAGAGACTGGGTAATAAAACCAATTGAATATTACCAAATTTAATATAATTTTCCTGCAAGTTTTTAGTCTTCATACAACAGCTTTCTTTAGTATGCCTTATCTAGTTAAAATAATTTCAATGAGCTTTGAAATAACGTTGACTAGCATTCTTTCTTACCAACCAGCACATACAAAAGAAAATTACATTTCCTTCTCTTTCGGGAGATCAGAGATTTAGTAAAGGGATTTTTTTAAAGTGTTTTCTAGATAATACTGAAGGTGACATCAATAGATGATGAAGAACAGTTTACAGAATGATAAGAACAATAATGAGATGACTTGAGGCTGTGAGGAAATGACTTTAGGAAATAATGAAGCTGACTGATTGAAAGTAGGAAAGACAACTACATTGAAGCCTAAAGTTATATTTTGACCTCAAATTAGCATTAATAGCATACTGAATGATATAAAAAAGGATGATTTTTTAACATATGTGGGAAAATGTCTTTTTTTAAGTCATGATTTTATAAAATAACCTTGAAACAGTGAATGCACCAGTCTTCATTCGATTAGGCTAAAATTATACAAAAAAATTCAGCCAAAAAAAAAAACAAAACAAAAACTAAAATTGAGCAACAAAATTTATAAATAAAAGATGACAAACTTTGTTTTTCTGTATTCATTTCTTTCTTGCCCAGCTCATTCTTTGTAGTGGTTGGTGAGAGGTTTGCTCATGAAGGTTGTAAATACAATTCTAAAAGAAATTATCAATACTCTTAAAAGAAAATATAATGTAATTATGGAAAAACTAGACTTCAACAAGCTTAAATTCTTTTCTTCAATTAAGTCATTTGAGTAGGTGACTTAATTTCTTAAAATCTTGATTTTCTTATAATTAAAATAGAGGCAATGATTATCTATCAGGTAATCATGGTAATAATGCCTGATGCCCTACTGTTATTGAAAAATATTAGTACTTTTCTACCTTTTCCCCATCCTTCAAGTTAAAGAAATAAAAGGCAAAAGACAGAAAGTACACCCATTGAGAAAAATGAAGACAATGATAAGAAAACTCAACCTTATCTTCCTATTCTTCACTTTCCAAATTAGGAAAGTAAAAGAGTAATGAGAGAATTACCTCTTAATTCATTTCTTTGTCTACTTCAGAATTGAAAACCACTTCTTATATAGCCATTACTTCAAGAGCTTTGCCCAAACATTTCAAAATTTTATAGAGACTGAAATAGATTATAAGGAGGAATCTGGTTGGAAGTACCAGAGGAGGTAAAAAGACAATTTTATCATGATTGCAGCATTGTGTCATATTGAACTACACACCCCACTCTTTCAGAGGTGAAGTCATGAAGAGTTATAACAATGAAAACAGAAAGCAAATACTGGCCAAAAGATTAAACTGCCTTTTCCATGGTTATATGCAATGTACATAAGGAAAAGGAGAACCCAAGAATGTAAATCTTCTAATTCTAGTGAACAGATTATTTTTTTTAGGGAAATTTTTAAATACTTTCAAAAGAAAAAGGATTTGCACTTAAGAAACAAACGAAAATAGACTTTAATTACTCTAAAATGGAGTTATATTGATCCTTGTTATAATAATATGTCAAAGATAAAGCCAGATGCTAACTAGTAAAACAGTAAGTAAAGATTTTATTCATTAGTAACTCTTGTGATAAGAGAGTCCACTGTGAACTGAGCTCAACTTCATGAAACTAAAGACTGGAAACTTTTCGAAGGTTGGGGTGTGCTAAGGAAAAGCCACTAAGCAGGTTAAGGGGGCTGCTCCACAAGATTACACCACCTGGGTTTGATAATTAGTGCTTAACTGGAGGGGAAAACAGACTTCTCTCATCTTTGTGACAAGAGGCAGTGGCAGCAAGTGAGAGTAAGACACCCACTGGGCTGGGAGGGAGAATGAGAGTCAGAGTTACCTTCTCAGGTGTTTGCACTTCAAAAAGAAAGCTCTCGGCTCCTTAGAAGGCAGTTTCTGGGTAGTAGAAGATTTACATCTCAAAAAGGCACAGAAAGGATTTATAATTGCAAGCTTTCTAAAGTAACTGCTCTAAGAGGAGGTTCAGGACATATTTGCCTATTATCATGAACTTTCTCAGGCAGGCAATTTAATGTGGGGGCTGGGGTCATTCGAGGGACATACATTTAAACTGTTGGACAATATGCTAGTGATTGTTCAAGTCTCTCAGTATGTATTTTGGCCCAGGGGCATGGGGGTGGGGGGTGCAGTGGAGGTGAGGGCAGCAGGATGAAATCGTTTGTGCTGGGAGTCTGCAGTTTTTATTGGCCAAGGCTGAGGTCTAGCCAAGAAGAGGACTTAGAGGATACTGACTAGTGTTTGGTCAAGAAGTCTTTGTCAAGTAATAAAAAAATTTAGAAGAAGTTGCAGGATTCATGACAGGTTTAGGGCTAAGTAAGAATTAACAGGTTCTAATTATGCAAATATTGGCGTTAAATTTATATATTCAATTTCAGATTTCAATGTGAATTTCATTTAACCTAAAATCTATGACTTCATTCCACAGATAGTAATAGAAAGAGACACTTTGGTACTGAGAAAACAGTGACATTTGAAATAAGCTAAAAGCATTGTAACAATTTTTTTTTTTTTTTACCTCCTGGGCACAATGACATTTCTTTACAGTTATTTTCTGGGAAAAGAATGTCAATTGAACTAAAATGGGGCAAATACTTTGAAATGACTGCTGTTTTGAAATGCTTTTGATTATGGGTGAGAAACATATTTGGAGGAACCAAGAGCTGAACCTGTTTTTTTCTTCAAAATAATACGAAACTTGAATTGCTAGAGAAAATAGTTAATATAATCATTTTCCTTTTCTTATTAGTGTAGCTTCATTGATGGTGACAAATTATATGAAGAAGAGTTGACTCATACAGAGCTTTTAAAATGTAGATATGTTTTTAAAAGCCTTACATTTCAGGCCAATTTTTGTACTAGATACATTTTCGTAGACAATCAGAAGTATTTGCATTATATAAATAAATATGACTGCAATTTGCCAATTATTAGACAATAGTCTTTTTAGCATATCTCAAAACATACACAATTAAATACGGTTTGAAATCCACTTGAAAATATTTTTAAAGCCAAGAAAGACAAAGCTTCTTTCAGCCTTATTACTATGTACCTAATGGTACATAGTGGTAGGTAATGGTGTGGTTTCAAAGACAGTTATCTGCCATTTTCTTCAAGGTTATAAGAGTGTCATATTGAAATTTTCTCAAATAGACAATTCTGACTAAAATGTAGGATGTGTGCTTTTATACAATTTTTCTACTTTAAAAAATTCATCAAATATTTTTAACTCGTTACTCAATGTTAGGTATATACTGGTAAACAGAAGAGATATTTTCTGTACCCTCATGGAGCTTACAATTTGGTGATGAAGTAGAATAATAAATAAATATATTTAAAGGACAGCTGTATATTTAAATGCTGTTTAAAAAGCTAATCTTTTTTACAAACTAATCATATTATCTATATAACCAATCATATTTTCTGTGTAATCAATACTATTGCTCATTATTTCAACCAAAATACCAGGACAACTTTTTTTTCTTTTTAGTGTTTTGCTTATGATGTCTCCATGGCGTCATTGAATGAATCCTACTAACCAGTATATGGGACACAATATACAATTCACTTAACTTAAAAATAAATGCTCACAGCAAGTAAAGGATAAAAAGTAATCCGTTCTACATTATAACTCCAAAATAGACTGTACAAGTGTTGCAAAAGATACATAGACATTATGTATATATATTCATATATGTGTATATGGATATACTTGTTAATTTATTAACATCAAGATATGTCTAATATTCAGATCATCATGCTATATACGTCTTTTTTGGAAGACCTCTACAAATGATTTTACACAGCTGCTGAAAGGCTCAGCATAATCTTTCCAGTTGTGATAGAAACACTGAGCTTGCTTTACATCTGTGGGGTAAAGCAAACTATACTCCCAAGTTTTATAGAAATGAAAATCTTCCATTTACAATTTCTATCATATAGAATTAAATTTGGCCTTTGGATGAATTCTATCATTTCTATACCAATCCCTGAAGAAAAAAATAAGCCAAAGAGGGCTTTCTTATCTTCATTTGTAGGCTAATTGTAGGCTTAGAGAATTGAGTTCAATGATTGGTATTTAACTGAGGAAAGCAATTGATAAGACCTATAATCTGTCCCTCTAGATGAATGTTCACTGAACAATGGAGGCTGTAGCAACCACTGTTCTGTTGTTCCTGGAAGAGGAATTGTGTGTTCCTGCCCTGAAGGACTTCAACTCAACAAAGACAATAAAACATGTGAAATTGTGGATTACTGTAGCAACCATCTAAAGTGCAGCCAAGTGTGTGAGCAGCACAAGAACACAGTTAAGTGCTCATGTTATGAAGGTTGGAAGCTGGATGTAGATGGTGAAAGTTGTACAAGTGTTGGTAAGTAACTATTTTGTGTGTGTTGCTATATTTAAGAATAGATCTTGAAAAAACCAAACCCCAAAACTGCTTCAGAAAATTAATACAATGATTCAACTCATTTTAGATAAAGCATTTAACTATAATGTATTATTTTAGACTTACTATAAAATTTCTGGAGAGAAAATATAATAATCCTTACTTTTGCAATCCATTGAACTGTTACCATCAGATTATTTTTTTCCTGAAACATTGATTTTATTATCATATCCCAGATGGGCTTGTTTTTGTATATGCAAAAGCATTTGCTTTGTTTCTCTGTGTATGCTTTTTTAGGGGGTCCTACCCCATATTCCCTGTTGTTATTTCTACTGCTCTTGAAAACAATTTCTTGCTCTGGTTGTGTTTATCTTCTAACTGCGTATTTAAAACATTCTGCAGATTCTCTAGGTGGTTTTTCACAGTGGGAAAGGCAAACAAAGGCTTTAGATTAGGATATTCAAACTCTAATTGTATAACTTATATTCATTCTGTATGTGACCCTAGGCAGGTTACATAATACTTTTGAGCCTCAGTTTCCTCATTTTTCAAGTAACATTGCCCATTTATAACCATTTCCTGTTTATAGCGTGTTGTAAGAATAGTATGAAAGACTTCTTACTGTGCCACACACCCACAGGGTGTTTAAAGAAGTATCACTTTCCATCCACTTTTCTAGATTCTTAGTCTGAGTCCACAGGAAACTTAGAAATCCATGGATAAAATTGAAGAGATTCAGGAACTTTTTTTGGGAAAATATTATAGCATTATTTTAACTTCTAACTGAAAGTTAGTATTTCTTTCCATTGTGAATGTATGCCACAGACCACCGAAGTTATTAGCAGCAACTATGAATTTGCTGATAGAAGTAATAGACATATTCATATCCCATTATAGTTGCTGCACATATCTCAAAATATCACTTATGTTCAGGCTTTGCAACCCACTACTAATTGAATAGTGGGACTCCTTGGACCCACTGCTGGATCTTATTATTGAATATACTAATAAAATCCTCTCTGTGGGGGAATATCTCTCAACTTCTTCTGAGATAAAAAGGAATTAGAATAAGAATTAAAATATTCTATCAAATGAAGTTTGAATTTCGTGACATCAAAATAAATATTTAAGTAAATAAATACATTTATTATTATATTCAAAAATTAATTTCAATAACTGCATTTCAATGTTTTCTCATCTATACTTTTAAAAAAGTTTTATTCTTACTGTTTTTGCGCTTCTAAAAACTTTCTAGTATTTGCTAGCACAACAGGGTGACTATAGTAAAAAATAACTTAATTGTACATTTTAAAATAACTAAGAGTATAATTGGATTGTTTGTAACACAAGGATAAATGCTTGAGGTGATGGGTACCATATTTACCCTGTGTGATTATCATATATTGCATGCCTATATCACAATATTTCATGTAACTTGTCATAGGTAGTGACTAACTGGGGCCATTGACACAGCGGGTAAAGGAATTTACCAAGACAGTTGTAGGTAAAGAGAGGCAGATTTATTAGAGAAAGCATGAAAATACATTGCAAGGTTGCAACAGGCAGCACAGCAGAGACAGGGCTGTCTGCAAAGAGGCAGGGACTGGAAGGACATTTTATATGGTGGTGCTGGAGGGAGCTACTTGTGGAATGAGGTCATTGTGGCCACAGGACAAGGAGGTCGTTGTTTATGATGAGATTAGCCACTTGTCTGAAAGATTGTTCATTGTTCTTCCCCACTTGGAGCCCTCCCCAACGTGGAGCCCCTTCCATATTGTTGCTTGCTTATCTATCAGGCCTCCACATAACCTAGAAATATACTACTATAACACCTACTATGTACTCACAAAAATACAAATTAAAAAAATTATTAAAAACCACAACTTTCTGCGGAGTCCACGTGCTTCATCAGACTACTAAGAACCCATACATTATGAACCTCTGTTCATTTTATTTCTTCCACTTAGACTGTACTTTCCTCACTTCATCTCCAGAAATCCTGGATATTCTTTGAGACGTACTCACTGAAGTCTTTTTTCATAAATCAAGTCTTCTTCCAGATATCCTTACTTTCCATTTATTTTTTCTTTCTATATCTGGAATATATTGTTCTTGAATATGTCTGATCACATTTTTTTTTTTTTTTTTTTTTTTGAGACGGAGTCTCGCTCAGCCACCCAGGCTGGAGTGCAGTGGCCGGATCTCTGCTCACTGCAAGCTCCGCCTCCCGGGTTTACGCCATTCTCCTGCCTCAGCCTCCCGAGTAGCTGGGACTACAGACGCTCGCCACCTCGCCCGGCTATTTTTTTGTATTTTTTACTAGAGACGGGGTTTCACCGGGTTAGCCGGGATGGTCTTGATCTCCTGACCTCGTGATCCGCCCGTCTCGGCCTCCCAAAGTGCTGAAATTACAGGCTTGAGCCACCGCTCCCGGCCTCTGATCACATTTTTAATCGGCTGTTTTATATTCCTAGATATCTTCTTATTTTTTATCTTTACAATAAAATAATACAAACCTTGAAGTTAGAATTCAGGTCATAGACTTTTCTCGTGTGTTTTAAATAATATCCAGTCCACTTCTGGGAAAATAATATACAGTTAATAAATAAATATATTTTTTCAGATATTATTATATTATTTTAATCTTTCACTTTAAATTTTGTTTTGTTTTGTGATTATTTCTGTAGTAGTTTTCTTATGACCATTAAAATTTGAGTCCCAGAACATAAGTTTAGCAGATGTTTATTCTACACTTTCTTCTTCAATATTCTCACACAAAGTAATCAGCTTGAGAGGCTGAAAAACAGCAATTTGTTGTGACGCTAATAGTCATTTCGTTCCTCTGTGTGTTTCAGATGAAAAAGCAATAGATCAAATATTGACCTCAGACACATTTGTGATCATATTTCACAGGACAATTGGCTCCAGATGTTTGTTTTGGATACAGATAACAAAATGATTGAGTGTCTTAGAGCGCTTATATACCATATGAAATAAATAACAACTTACGTTTAATGTTAGAGTAATTCAACATTCAAATACAGGTGACCAGAGACAGAGATAACTCACCTAATGGAATTGACCCCTCTGCCCTCAGCTCAGAATAGAACTGCAGGGGCAGAAAGGAGGTGTTCGCTTTCCTCCACATTGTAAGGGTCATAGATGACTGTCCTATAACAAAGACCAGTTAACAAGAGAAAATCATAGCAAATTTATTTGATCATAGTTTTTTTTTTTATTGTTTTAAAATATAGCAATTATTTATTGACAGATAATTTGATTAGTAGAGTTATAAATACAAAAAGGAGGAAAGATGACCAGAAAGAAGACATTATTTCTAACAAATCTTCAAGAAAATACTGATTATTAAAATGACTTTTATCTTATAAGTGTTGCACATACAGTTTTAGCTCCTCAGAGCCCTCTATCAATAAGTCGCCTGAAATAGTAAAGAGTTTGCTACTGCAGCCTTGGGGAACATTTTTTAGTGTTGTGCTGGTACTTCTCTGACAAAGCGTGCTTTTAATCAAGACAAACGGTCCCATATTTATGTAAATCCTAAATTCCAAGTATAAGCACTGCAATTGAACTGACAGACTGGAATAAAATAATAAATCCTTAGATTAACTATACCATCTTCTCACAAATTATTTGAATTTCATAAAAATATGAAGTGTTAACATAGAAATGAAATGGCAACTGACTTTATGAAAGCTCACACATTGAAACTAAATGAAATCCCAAGCTGTGGTGTGGAGTTATTCTGTTACCAGGCAGCACTCCCTCACCATAAAAATAGCAGCTAGGTACTGGTTTCTTAATGCCAAACTAATGATGATTTTGAAGACCAACCTTGCTCACTGTCATACCCATGACTCAAATGGAGAACTTTTCCTGTCTCCTGATTTCCTTTCTTTTAGCTTTGTTGAGAAGATCCCTGAAAAGAAAAAAAAAAAAAAAAGATCATTGAGTAAAAACATAATCTCCTGGAGTATCATCTTCTTATTGCAGATACCCCTTCACAACAACAGGAGCCTTTCAATCAGCCGCACTCCAACAGGTTCCAAGTCAGTATCCTGTAAAGTTCCCACAGACCTGGAGAACTTCATGCAAACTTCTTGGTGGCCATGAACCTCTCCATGTACTTATCATAACCTTCCAGTTCTTGAAGTTTCTTTATTTCATAAAGATCACCTTCCATAGCAAGCAGACAGATATGGGAATCACTGTAGATGCTCTGTGAAACCATGCTGAGTTCAGGACAGTTCTCTTCTAGGTAAAGAATTTTAATGAAAGGACAGCAAGATATCTTTACTGAGACCTGAGATATCTTCTTCCAGTTGAGGATGAGTTTGATGACCTGCAGCTCTCCTACTATGTCAGGTATACTTTGAATCTGGTTCCTGGAAAGGTCCACCACCTCTGGTGGCCTAGGCTACAAAGTTAGGTGATAGTGCTCCCAGTTGGTTCCCAGAGAGACTCAGGGTCTTGAGGGTAGAGAGTTGCCCAAAGGTAGATGGCAACTTTCTCAGGTGACTGCCGTTTAGGCATAGCATCTCTAGATTTGTTTAGGATTGCATAATCTCATTAGGCAGAGCAGTTTATGTTGTTCAGGGATAGGTTCTTCAGCTCAGTGAACTTCTGTATCAGCAAAGGCAGTAGGTTCTCCATCTTATTGTTGGACAAATCGATGGTCCTGAGATTGCTCATTAGTGTCTGCAATTCTAAGAGGAACTTGGTCAGCCCACAGTCCTTAAACTGGGAGACAGTAGTTTTGCGTGCACATTCCACCTGAGTACCGAGGGCACCGTTTCCTATACTAGTGCTTTGGCCCACATCTCTCCTATGGCTCAGCTGCCAGATGGTTCAGCAGGGGAACCCCAGGACCTACACTAACCAGGTTGAGTTCCCTGGACTTAGTCCTGGATGGGAACCTGATGATAGTTTTATGTGACATAGAAACCTTCAGAATGAAGACCCAA